CAAATTAATTATTTATTACTTTTTCCGTAAAAATCAATCGTAGCATAGTGAAATAAGTATGTATACTCTTAAATGGCGATAGTCTATCAATACTGTACGTACCGTACAGTACGTCCTGTACTTGTACCGATTTTTCTGATGCACTCCCGTAATAACGCGGTTTCTCTATCACGTGAGTTTACCCTTGTCCCCCGCGACCCGCGTTATAGTGGGGTTGTACTACTGACAAAGTTAAAACTGTACCAGCAATACGTACTGTAGTCCAGTGAAAGGTTCAATAAAAGAATAACTATACATTTTCACTGCTTTCCAATGATGTGTTCAATGTCTCACACCCTCAACCATAAGCTAATCCTCAGGTAGAAGGCATTCATCAGTAAGAAATTCAAAATAACAAAATACTAACTGTAAATGTTTCCCATAAAAGCATTGAAGCCAAGTGCATGAACCTGTCCAACTTACAACAAAAGGGGTGAACAAGTTCCAGGATAAAGGGGTGTCCAAGATATAGGGTGTTGTGGACATACAAAATTATAGGATATTCGCCGGTTCCAATTAAAAGTGTCCAATATAGAGGGGTGTCCAGGATATAGGGGTGTCCAACTAGAGGGGTTTTACTGTATCTTTAAAAAGAAGGCAATTCTGGAGAAACACGACAGTGAGGAGAGGACTGATACTGGAATGTCTAAAGAAGTGATCAAATTTGGCATGAGACTAGTTTACACTGGCAGTCTACAAAGTATGTAATAAATGACAACTAAGCAAATAAGGTACCTGGATTAAACAATATAACAGAGCGCAAGCACCCAAGTTCTGTCTTGTCCATTTTCATTTCTCGCATCTTAGCAACAAGTTCTGTGAGCACACGGTCGAAGATTGTACCAACACCAGCCTGATGTGCTGAGTTACGGTGAACTGTGAGACCTGTTGCCAAGACAATTCCATCCTTAACTTCCATAGAGCGATGAGAAAAAGCAGCTATCAGCAGCTCATTCCAACCTGTAAGTAATTGTGACAAATTTCAAATAATTGGAACTTTGGAAATAATGATTTTTTTGTTTTTCTTCCTACTACTGTTACATCATAGTGAACTCATCTAATGCTTCTCTAGAGTACAATGGATATGGATGTTAAATAAAGGTAAACTTTTTTTTTATATTTACAACAGAGCTGACTCTTGATATAAGTCACTGATCCTGATAAACACCAGATAAGAATATGAAAAATAACAAAACATAAAGCAACACTCAGTAGCATCCTGGTTTGAATCTGGACACCCAGTAAAATTCAGAAAACTCACAAGCTATTAAAGGCAGAGATTCATTTTGATGCTGGAACCACCTAATGAGCAGAAAGGAGGTTTAAAAATTACAACCTTAAATGGATAAACTTTCATACTGTAATAATTCATATTAAAACAGATCAAGTGAATACTGAATAGACATTCTTTATATCTCAGCCATCAAGCCCATAACCAGTCATATATTGATTCACCTACCCCAACTCATGAACATTTAATCAACTCCAGCAGAGTCCTTGAGAAGCTGATAAATGCTCAGCCAATCAAGAAATTCACCATTTTTTATAAACATGAAGGTTCATTACTGCGTTCACAAGAGCCTGCCCACCACCAATCCCTATTCTGAGCCACATGAATCCAGAAAACACTGTCCCACCCTACTCACTTAATATCCATTTTAATATTATCCTCCCATGTTTAAGTGGAAAATTATATAAGGGGTAACTCAAATCAAAGAGCATTAATGCATTTCATGTACAAAGAAACTGTCAGCAACAGGTGATATGATCTTCAAATTTTTAAAACAAAACTGCAGTGTCAGTAATGCAGTGATAGTAAAGCACCAATGGTTTGTAGTTTAGGCCTATCTGAATAACAAGAGACATCTATGCTTAATGCATGGTAATTCTACTGATCACAATTGAAAATTTTTAGAGCAAGCAAAAACTGAATAGCAAGATGATAACAAATCAGCCAGTAAGCAAAAAATACAAACTATATCACTATACAAATATTACTGGATACTGGGTCGACCCATTCTTCAAGTGCCTGAGCATTGTGGGTGTCAACTTTTTTTATTGGTTTTGATCTATAGACATATATAGGACTCTCTGGATGAGGGATAAGCCTGTCACAAGGCCTCTACCTACACACAGGACAGCACAACATTGAAAAATGTGGACAAACATCCATGGCTTGAGTGGGATTCGAACCCACGGCCCCAGTGACCAAGCGGAACAAGGCCCACGCCTCAGACCGCGCGGTCACTGTGACCCCCTACAAATATCAGGATAAGAAATAACTATTAAATTGTAGGAATATTTGGACAGTATTGTACAATTTGAATACGTGAAAATGAAGACAATTGATTTCACAATGAAATTTTGTGATTATATTCAATTCAGCATTAAGTTTTACTTGACACATGTCCATTGGACATTTTGTTATAATGTTCTGTACACTGAACATCACATACAATTGGTGTTGTACATCTCACCTCATCAAACAAAATTTCATTCGGTAATTTTACCTTATTTGACATATTATCATAGTGAACATTATGGGCTTAGATTTACATACCTGAATCAGTTTTAACTACCAATCACCGTTGAATATCATAACAATTACGCAAGTAACTACAGAGAACTATTCTTAATTCTGAGAGCAAGTTCCGAGTCTCTTGTTACCTGCTCGCAGGAGAAGCACCTGATCTCCAAGAGGCAATTTCGTAAAGTGAGGGATGTGCTTGGCCCACTCAACAAGTTGAAACAACTGTTTATTGGTTGCTTGGCAAATGTTGGTCACTGCCGACTGAAAACACAACAAAAATTACAATCAACCTCCTGTTACACTTTAAAATTTATAAACTGCAATTATTTCCTCATGTCATACATTCATTTAAAAGTTAATGCATACATAGTGCAATCATTCTGGCATGTTCATTCTGTTACTGTCTCCATGTTTTTAATTCATGCTATGAATACCATCATTTGATGTTTTCTTATGAAGAGCAGATAACAGGTAGGGAGAATGAGCAAAGACTCCAATATACAATTTGACCAAAATTAATCCACTGGTTCTAAAGTTGTATGAGAACAGCACAGAAATAGCTTATATTTAATGATCTTAAAACCAAAAATCTTACTGAAAATGTGCAAAAACTGTGTATTTCACTGTACAATACAATTATTGTGATGATAATTATTTTTGCTTGATAATCATTTAGTGAGTTATGTGCGAGTTACATTCGATATGCAATCACAGGCAGATGTAGGTTTCCATGTAGTGTTTATTACTGTTTGCACTGTAACTAAAATTGAAATGTGTCAACAAATTTTACAAAAGCTTCATATAATAAAACTTAATGAAATCTGTTCACTGGTTTCTGAGTAGTTGTGTTTAAATATCACATTCTTCTTTAGTCACACCTCTAATTAAAAAATCACAGCCAGGCTCCTCCATGCACATTTCTTAATTATAAAATTACAGTCACTATTGCACAATCACATTTTCAAATTATAAACACAGTATCTGTCAATCAAACTTCCAAATTCAAATTTCACACTTATTATTCCAAAATCATACTAACAAATTTAAAAAAATCCCAATCAGTCTACTCAGTCCTACTTCCAAATTTAAATTAGCATAAGCCTGCTACAATCATGCATCCAAAAAAAACCATCTTGGAGATAAATATCAGAATATAACAATAAAGTTCACTGGTCTCCAATATAAACTCTTCATAAATATGTAGTTCCCAACTTTATGCCCCAATAAATATTTACAGCACTCATCTGCCCAAGTGATACACAATATGTCAGGTGACTTCACCTCGAACTCAACCTGATTTTCAGTCTTGCACTCAACTCTCTTCTCTGCCTCCAGTATACGCTCAACAGGCATATCTGTATGCAGACTGCTGGTAGATTCCACCTCATTTTGATCACGCTCCTTGGTACGCTGACGCTCCTCCTGCAAGAACAACACCAATTACATTTAGAAACAGTTTTCTGAACTGTGTCTACTTAGTTTTCTCATAGTTCTCAGGTACATTAATAACATTTCTGAAAGGTAAAATCTGATTATGAAGTAAACACTAACTCCACGCTACACAGTCTTTCTGAACAATTAACAATTACTTGGCTGGTCAAGATATTCCGTTATGGAATTTCAAGGAATCAGTATCATGTTTGCAAAAATAAAATGGTAATGGACCCAAACCTAAGCCAGTTCAACCCAGTTCCCATTTTCACAACTTATTTCTCAATGACAAACTTTAATATTATCCTGTTTACACCTAATTTACTAAACATTTTCTGACTGTCTCACAAGCAGGAAGAAATATTACTTGAAGTAAGGCATTTTAATATTTCAGGTGAAAACACAGTACCAAAATTTTCACTCAACAGGGGCCCTTGATAACAGCTTTTGAGACCAGGTTTAACAACTTACAATTATTAACAGTTTGAACCAACAACACTTTGTTTCATAACAGTATGTTCCACAAAATTCCTATAGATTTCTTAAAGCATTTGTTACTTCTAAAAATATTTTATCCAATGACCTGATGTAAATTTAAATACATTTATACCAAGAAATCATTTAATTAAAGACATAAATAGCTACAAATAATAATGCCCACTTTAAATACAAAACATGCTGGGACCAGAGTAAAAGAGATACATGATTCTTCCACAAAATATTAAACAGAATCCTTCTAAAACATATGAATGAACATAAACATATGAACCTTTAATAAACTTCCAATTAAATTATATAAATAAAATGAATCTTTTAAACCATATTGACCACTAAGGGCTTGCAACATACTATAAGGAAGAAAGGCTAATGTTAGCATCTTATTACGAGGTGTGTTTAAAAACAGACCAAACTTTGTAAATAGCGTGCCAACCGGGACAGAGTGCGTGCTGCGGCTACTGAGCTAACCTAGCGGCAGGTTTTGACGACAAACTGCCATTTGCCACGTTCCGCTATGAACATTAGTCGTCGAGCTACATCCGCTGAACTGAGCACATGCAAAAGCTGTTCGTCGGATTAGTGACAAAGTGACAATTAAAGGGCTTGAAGAACAGCTCGTGTGTGTGAAATTTTGCTGCAAACTTAGTAAAAGTTTTACAGAGACATTTCAATTGCTTAACCAAGCATACGGGGAGGACTGTATGAGCCGAACGCAGTGTTATGAGTGGTTTAAACGTTTTAAAGAGGGCAAAACGTCGGTCGGTGAAGATCCCAGGCTTGGACGACCTTCCACATCAACAGACGACAACCATGTCGTCAGAGTTCGTGCTGTGATTTGTGGAAATCGTCGTTTAACTATCCGAGAAGTTGCTGACGAAGTGAGCATCAGCATAGGATTTTGCCATAAAATTTTGACTGAAAAACTTCAGATGTGTCGCGTCAGTGTGAAATTCGTGCCGCGTTTGTTGACTGACGCTCAGAAAGAGAACCGTATTGAAATCAGTCAGGAACTGCTTGCCAATGCAAAAGGTAATGAAAACTTTCTTAAGAACATCATAACAGGAGATGAGACATGGGTTTATGGCTATGATGTTGAAACCAAGATGCAATTGTTGTAGTGGGTGGGGAAAGGGTCTCCTCGACCAAAAAAGCACGGATGAGTCAGTCAAATATCAAGGTGATGTTGGTTGTGTTTTTTGATTGGAAAGGCATTGTCCATCATGAATTTGTACCATGTGGTCAGATGGTAAACAAACAGTTCTACCAGGAAGTTTTAGCGTGTTTGAGGAATGCTGTGCGCAGGAAGAAGCCTGAATTGTGGGAAAACCAGACTTGGATGTTGCACCACAATGCGCCGGCTCACGGGTCGCTCCTCATCCACAGTTATCTGGCAAAGCATCAGACAACTGTTGTGCCCCATCCACTCTATTCTCCAGACTTAGCCCCAGCAGACTTTTTCCTGTTTCCCAAACTTAAAAGCACTTTGAAAGGATGTCGTTTCCAAACCATAGAGGATATTCAGGAAAATGCGATAAGAGAACTGTGTGCCATCACAGAAAGTGCGTTCCAGGAAGCATTCCAACAATGGAAGAAACGTTGGGAACGGTGTATCACCAGTAGAGGGGACTATTTTAAAGGGCACAGAGCTTAAAATGTTGTAAAATTAGCAATAAAGTCTTTATAGCAAAAGTTCGGTTTTTTTAACACACCTCGTACATGTGGTTCTATGTTGTCTGTCTCCCACAAATTACAGTAAAACACTTCTATATCCTGGACAACCCTCTATATTGGACATTTTTTAATTGGAACTGGCAAATATCCTATAATTTTACATATCCACAATACCCTATATCTGGGACACCCCTCTATCCTGGAACTTGGTCACCCCTTTTGTTGTAAGTTGGACAGGTGCATGTTTGCACTTAGCTTCAATGCTTTTATGGAAAACGTTTACAGTTACATATATATCTTTGTTTTCAATTTCTGACTGATGAATGCCTTCTACCCGAGGATTAGCTTATGGTTGAGGGTGTGAGACATTGAACACATCATTGGAATGCAGTGAAAGTGTATAGTTATTCTTTTGTTGAAACCTTCACTGGACTACAGTAAGTATTGCTGGTACAGTTTTAACTTTGTCAGTACTGTGCTTGCAACTGAGTTAAACAGTGTTAACAGAAATTGGATTTTTCTTTTTGCGATGGGGAAGAAAAAATCGGTGGAATTAACTTTGGAAAAGAAGAAAGAAGTTTTGGATCTTCTGAAGATAGGAGAATGTTGCACGAAGCTGGCAGAGAAATACGGCATCTCAAAATGTACTGTTTCCAACATCAACAGCAACAGCAACAGAGCCGCTATTACCGATGCGTGGGAAAAGAATTGTAGTGCAGACAGAAAAAGACTATGAAAAACACCTCATGATGAACTAAATGAAAAAGTGTTATAGTTTTTCCAGTGTTGTCGTGCAAAGAACATTCCCATTAGTGGCACACTTTTACAGGAGAAGGCTAGAGAAATGGCAACTAGACTCCACATCGAAGATTTCTCGGCTAGCAATGGGTGGTTGGATTGTTTCCGTAAATGAAACAACATAGGTTTGCACGTCCTTTCTGGCGAATCAGCTTCTGCTGATCTTCAAGCTGCTGAAGATTGGAAACGCAAACTTCCAAGCCTTTTGTTGGGATACGCAAAAGAGGACATTTTCAACGTGGATGAAAGTGGAGTATTCTACTGTCAACTTCCGTGATCCTTAATAGAAATGAGAGAGACATGTAAAGGAGGGAAGAAATCTAAGGAGCAGATTACAGTTTTGCTATGCTGCAATTCGCAAGGAGAGAAATTAAAACCATTAGTTATTGGAAATGCTGCACGTCCTAGAGCTTTCAAAATGAACAACGTGAAATTGGACGGCCTTCCCGTAATTTGGTGTTACAACACGAAGGCTTGGATGACATCTAAAATTGTTTCTTAGTGGTTGAAGGAGGTCAACCTTAAAATAAAGCGGGCTAATCGGAAGATATTATTGTTTGTCGACAACGCTACAAGCCATGTCAATTAAAATCTTTCAAATGTCAGTATAGAATTTCTGCCGCCAAATCTGACCAGCGAAGTTCAGCCACTAGATAAGGGCATTATTCAATCTGTGAAACTGCTCTACAGGAAGCAACTAATGCATTCACTAATCAATGTTGCAGATAAGTGCAAAGACATGACTGAATTTGCACGAAGCGTTACAGTCTTAGATTCCATTCGGTGGATTCATGGTGCCTGGGCAGAAGTTTCTCCTCAAACCATTGCAAAGTGTTTCTGACATGCAGGATTTATGGCAGATTCTGTTGAGGATGAAGGGGAAGGGGAAGGGACGGAAGAAGACAATTTGCATGAAGAAATAAACTGTCTTCTTGAGGAGTATTGCAACCAAATTCCTGATGTCCAAGCTCTTTCAACGTTCGACAACATTCTAGAGGTTCACGACGATGTCGTTGGAACAATCGATAATGTGCTAGACAACGTGATGACTTCAAGTGACGATGTGTGTAAAGAATCTTCAGAAGAAGAAGAGTTATCTGTGTAAGAAGAACCATCTACACATCAGAGGGCTTTGCTATGCATAGAAGAATTAGAACAGTATGCTTTCGCTCATAATCAACCAGGAATGGTTGAAACTTTATTTGTATTGCGGCGAAAATTAGAAAGAGGATGGGCAAGTTCCAAGATAGAAGCGAAAAAGCGGTGTCTTGTGACAGACTTTTATACAAGAAATAAGTGGCATCATATGTTGAGCTAATGTCGTAAGTACAATTAAAAAAATACATTCTGAATATTTAAAATTTCATTGAGGCTGGGGTGTAATGTGCAACCATGAGAGTGGGTTTCAAAAGATTATTATTATTGTCATTAATTCTTAATTCAAGCAAGCCTACAGTAGTTAGATTATGTAAGTACATAGATTACATTGTCGGCAAACGTAAAGTATTGGTGCCCTTCCCTTTGAGCTTAACCATATACTTTACAATTGCCACATTGTTATTACATGACAATTTGAAAGGATGATTTTTCCCTTTCCCTCTATCTTGGACACCTCTGTAAGTTGGACACATTATCGTGGAACCACAAGTGTCCAAGTTAGAGAGGTTTTACTGTACTTTTGAACCAAATCACTGATTTTCACAAAGCCTGCTACTTGACTGCCCAGAGCTATGAGATCAGAATGCTAACAAAGAAGTATATAATCCACAACTATCTAATCTATAAAAATTGAATATAAATTGCATGGGAGGGGGTAAACATGTAAAAAACATGATATAAAATTATAACAAACTGAGAGGCTGTAGGGAGGGAAGTAAAGATTCCAGATATTCACATATGATCATCAATAATGTTCTTAACAACAGAAGAACTTAATTTAGTCACAACTTTAACTTCTCTGCAGCTGCTTCCCTAACCAACTGGTGGAGTTTGAAATTGCAAGAATTTTTCCATCCCTTGCATTTTAATATTCCACTTTCTTCATTATACCATGCTCTGAAGTAAAGAGTTTCGATAACCTAATGTGAACAGTCAATGTGTTAAGTACAGTAACTTTGGTCAATAACACTCAGATTCATACTATAATTAATAAGAACCTCTCATTAATAATTTCACCAAATTAGGTCAAGGGATGCAGGGTCTGAAACACATGACATATGATTATTCCAAAATATAACTTAATTTCTCCTTTGTATAAAAAATACCTATAAATGGAGTTGACAGGTTAAATCAGGACAACAATAGCTATTGTAACCTAGTGCTACAGGAATTTGGTGAGCTGTTTTATAATAATTAAATAACACTAACAACAAGAGACCTCTGTGTCCCAAGATAAGAAACATGAAGTGTTGAAAGTAAAATATCTTGCATGGCTCTTAATACACACATGAATTTCATGAGATGGAAAACCAGCCACTAAGCATCAGGCAAATTAGAATGAGACAGGCCTAGTAGAACCTGCCTCATCAGCTCAACTGGTACACTGGCAGGAAAAAAGGTAAGGTCATCCAGGCCCAGCTGTTGGTATCCCCTGCAGCCCTTGCCTTATCTAGATGAACTGTGAGTCCTGAAGCAAGTCTTGAGAGGTCCTCATCTTCATGCAGTCTGTCTTCACGGTGCCTACATAGGACTCCTGATCTAATATCTCCACAATGTCTCTTATGATGGCTCTTTAATCAAACAACACAACTGTAATCCATAAACTGTAGCACACCCAGAAATTTTGTTTGGGGGGCTTCACTAGTCAGTAACAGAAACAAACTCAATAATTATAAAATAATGTTTCTAATCTTCTTTTCATTTGTGGCTGATGACACCATGTTCAAATTGCCTGGTTTTCTAATATTTCAGAGAACATGGTTTCCTCTATCTTCAAGAAAAGTGACCAAACAACAAACTTGTGCCAATATTTGTAGTTCCAAGCCACAAGGCAGAGGGAATTCCACACTTTGCTTGACAGTGTGTGAAAATTCCCCACTGTTGTTGAGCCAGTATCTATAAACATCAACACAGAACTATTACCTAATCACTCCACCTTGAAGATGAAAACAGCCAGGTTCTTAAAAAAAAAATGAAACCACTATAACACAGTGCCATTATTAACAAAATGCACACTTAGTTTTAACTCATTCTTAAGGGAGAAAAGGGGGTTGAGTTCTGTAAGTTATTCAGTGCACATGCCACATGCTATGGATGTCTCCATACACAAATCAAACTGTCTTTCTTCAAGACAAGGCATCACACATATCTGGAAGCCTAAATGATATAATATGGAAAAATAAATCCTTACATAAATAAACAAAATGAAGTGCTATCAGCACATGAAGCAGAAACAAGAGCAAATATTTCAAGAACACTACAAGTTTCAGAAACAAGTTTCTAAAGTGTACAGAAAGTAAGAATTGGCCATATGAGATGTCAGGACAAGACAATAATGTGGTATTCAGTGTGAAGAAGAATGGATCAACAAACAAAGACATGAATGGAAGAGTCATAACCACACAAGACTAGAGTGCCTGAATAGCAAGAGGTACCCCTTCTGAAGTACTCAGAAAGATATTCAAACCCAACAAAGATGGAGTAAGAAAGTACTGGGAAAATGTAGTAGTTCCATTATTCATGTCCTTTACATAACCCTGTTAGGGAGATTAAATAAATAACAATGAGATGGGTGGCACAAATAGCATGCATGAAGAAATGAATAAAAGTACTGGTGTGATAACATCAAAGAAGAGACCTCTTTGGGGACCCAACTGTAAAAGGGCAGTAATATCAAAATGGAGCTTATGAAAACAGATTATGAAGATGTGAATTACACTGAGGTGGCTCATGACATTCCAATAATTGGCTTTTGTGCTTGCAGTGATAAATTTACAGGTTCCGTAACAACAGAATTTCTTGAGATGACAGTCTTCTGGAATGTTGCACCATGTAGTCTGGTAGAAGCCTGTCAATGTTTCAGAAGAGCTTACTGCCTCCATCATCAGTATGACTCATAATCCTGATGGTGGAGACAGTGAACTTCTGAAATGTCAGTAAACTTTTACCAGACTACACAGCAGAGCTTCCCAGAAAACAGTCACCTTCGTGCTTATGGCCATGAGAATTCGAAATCTCACCAACAGAATTTCTTGACCAGCTATAGACCTAAATCCATACGGTCGCCATACAGTCAGTATATCACTGCTTCATCACTTAACAATCTACAAATATGATTTTTAATTATGTATGGTCGAATATATATAAACACAATGACCTTCAAATACAGCTACATATGTGTGCCCTGGAATCCATGGCTGAGACAGAAAATAGTATTCATGCAGATCATGCAAACTGTGAGAACCTTAACCAGACAAGAGAGAAAGGCATTTCATGATCATCAGACCCCTGTATGTGTCACAGACATGTTTGCACTTTGTAAGTTAATTTAGTTGTGGTTTAACAACACACATCAGTAGCTCAGACAATATACTGTCAAATGAGAACACAGTTCATGAATAATGAACTGGAAAGGATATAGAAGGAAGCAGTTGTGTCCAAATTTAAGGCACTTTCCTGGCATTTGCCTGGAGGAACCAAGGGGAAAAAACTTCAATTAGGATAGCCAATCTCCAGGATAAGATTTGAACCTAGGACCTCCTATATACAAAACCTGAGCACTAACCACTTGAGCACAATGTTCAGTACAGTTCACAAGATACATGTTTGTTTCCAAAATTTTACAAAAAATCCAAAGGAGTTCTATATACTATTAGTCTAATTATGTAGGAAAATTAAATAAGGAAATATAAAAGAAAGGACAGAATGAAACATGAGCTTAAAAACTGTTCCTGTCTTCTTGCCAAAAACAATTATTAGTTGTACACAAATCAGCAACCAAAATTGTAAACAGAATCATACTGGAACTTCACAGAAACAAAGACAAACCTTTCTAAATATCAAGGGAATATAATGTTTTTGCAGTCTATTCATGAATAACATTTATCCATATAAGTCTACACACTCTATGCATGCATCCACTTTTAAACAGAGAAATCATGAGGCAGAAGCTTTTAATTTTTTTAACCAAAAAAATAAAAAAGACTTTCACAAACTTGATTTGAAATAAAATATTATGACTTATGAAACTGCAAAGATCAGCAGTGGGTATAAAGTAAATTTAGAATGACCAGTACACATGTAAACTGCCAAGAATTCATAATGTGGCTGACTGATTGTTGCATTATGTAACAACGGTTTTGTCAACTGCAAAGATTATGTAGTATTAAATTGCAAAATGTCTAAATGACAAACAGGAAATAATGTGAAAATAAATGTGGTCTATTTTAAGGTGGTATATCAACATTTGCCTAGAGGAGGTAAGAAGATACATTGAAACTTCTTCACCCAGTCAGGACAGCCAACCTTCAGAAAACAATTTTTACCCGGGGCCTTCCAAATACAAAACCACTCAACTGCAAATTTCAGCAATTCCAAAGTTTACTGCCAACAATGTGAATATCTGACAAACACATACAGAGGACTCTAATAATCATACATTCAAGGTCGTGGATGATACGTACCTGGACGGCTTCCCTCTTCATACCCATACCAAGGCACTTTTGGTAGCGGCAGTACTGACATCTGTTGCGCTGGCGCTTATCAATTGTACAGTTCTTGTCTTCCCGGCATGCGTATGACAAGTCCTTTCGCACCGTTCTCTTGAAAAAACCCTTGCACCCTTCACAGCTGAAACAAAAAATACAGAGATTTTAGGAAAAGTATAAGTGTAAAACAACAAGTTCCAAAATCCATGATACAAGGACTTTCTTGAGAAATTAAAAGTAACTTAACTTGTCAAGAAGTTCCCCAATTATTATAAAACCTAAAGTTTCATTGCTGTGTTCACAAAAGCCTATTTTTAATCAAATTAATTTAGTCCATATTCTAACATCCTGTTCTTCTAAAATGAATTTATGCCTAAGTCTTCCTAGCGGTTTATTCTTTGAGGTTTTCCAGCTAAAACTGTGAATACATTTCTTATTTTCTTCATGTTCCCTGTCTCATCCAACATCATTTAATCATCTTAATACGGTTTATAGAAGAGTACAAATTGTGAAATTCTTCACTGTGCAAGTTTCTTCACCCCTCCCCCCTCTTACATCCAAATATTCTTCTTGGCACTTTGTTCTCAAATAACCCAATCTAACCCAACACAATCTCACCACAGTCTGACTCCATTTTTGAATTGAGTTCAAAGTCTAAAATAGACTGCCTCACTGTATGCGGGTTTCCACCCTCACTCATCTTACTGTTTGCTTGCCAAGAATAACTCCATTCGTCTTACAAACAAATGATCCATACCTAGAACACACACTTGGTTGCTTTACTCCTCTTTTCACAATTTAAAAGTGTCACACTTTCAGACACATCTTATTTATTTTTATATATGATACATTACACAGCTTTGGTGATGCACGATCTTGCATGCCACCATGAAACAATATTTTTTACTTCCAATCACTTACATAACAGACAGCAATGGTGCTTACTTTTTAGACATCACACATGTATCAAGATGTTTGCACTAAATGTTTTATTTATCCATGTGCGGGGAAATGTACAGTATACCAATGTGTATGTGAAGAGACACAAAGTAAGTTTACAAAGTATTACAAGTGAGTCAATGAAACTTCAGCATGGATAATATGACACTGCATAACACTGAGAAAATTATGCCACAGATTTTTTTTTTTGAAGTCCATGTTCACAGAATGAAGAATGTTGTTATATCAATTTCAGGAACACTTCTTTATCCATGTTGTCACTGTTAAATATTTGACCTTCCATATGATGCTTCAATGTTAGAAACAGAAAAAACAGCACGTACAAGGTCAACACATGAGCTGGCATAGCTTAGACAGTACAGTGTCTGGCTACAGATTGAATGACTGGGGTTTGGCAGAGAAAAACTATTTTTCTTCTAGCCCCTGCATCCAGACTTGCTCTGGGATCCACCCAGCCTCCTATCCAATGGGTATCAGGGATCCTTCCCCTGGGGGTATAAAGTGCAGCTGGGACATGACACTGATCACTCACCCCATCTAGTGCTGAGGTAACAAATGAGTTCGAGTTATACTCCATTTCCCCTCATGTGTAGCATGATAACTTTATTAACAAGGCCAATACAGACAACAATGCAGGAGGAGCTGTGACAGATAGTGAAAAGACAATAACTTTCATGGACAGAAACAGAAAAATCCATTATATGGTACAAGTGTCTTAGTTGTCATGTGGATTATGCACAAAATAGTATGAGTTGTACAATGATAATATTGAAGATTCTCCACCTGATTTGAAGGGAGACAGACAGACAGACATATACACATTCACATGCACACACACATTCTCATGTGTGTGTGAATGTGTTTGTATGTACGTGAGCATGTGCGCACACACACACACACACACACACTCATACACACCTTGAAAACTTACGAACTGTCCCTCATATACCAAATCTAGTCCCCTTGAATGACACTGAAACACTGCAGAAGGAAATAATCTTTTTACATTCTTTCCAGATGTATCCAGTTACCTTCCTTTTCAAACACCTGAGTCCAGTATTATAAACAATACCTAACTCTTTGTTTGTGGACATTTTAGTGAAAACATCTAACAGAATATATTTTTAACTTGATATAAAAATCTTATTCTAGATGACTGCAACTGTGCTGATCTTTATGACAAAAATATAGAATGAAAGAGCACAATAGCTTGTACAATTTTAACCCCCTCTGTGCCTAAGAACTAATTTAATTAACTGTTCTGCCAAGTCTGTTGACATCTGATATGCGTGATGCTTAGTGGTTGGTTTTCTATTGCATGTAATTAATTTAAATATTAAGCGAAGATAAAATCAGACAACAATTTTATTTTTAACACTGTTTTTGTATTTATTTCTCTTGTACACTAACTAAATAACTAGATGGCTTACAGAACCCGAAGGTTCATCACCAAATTAACCAAAGCCCTCCACCAGACCCAGTCCTGGGCCAACAAAATCCAATCTCCTTCAAGTCCTATCACACAGATCCTGCTTGATATTATCCTCCCATCTATGTCTAGGTCTCCCCAGAGTTCTCTTCCCTTCAGCCTTCCTGACCAACACTTGATGCACACTTCTTGTCCTATCCATGCATGACACATGCCCCACCCATCTCATTCTTCTCGACTTAATCACCCTGACAATATTGGGAGAGGAGTACAATTCTTAAGTTCATCATTATGCAGTTTTCTCCATGCCCCTCATCTTCTCTCCTAGGCCCACATATCCTCCTCAACACCCTATTCTCAAACACCTGCAAACTGTGTTCCTCCCTCAGAGTGACAGAACATGTTTCGCACTCATACAAAACAACAGGTAAAATTATTGGTTTTTATATTTTAATTTTTAGGTTCTTATAAATCATACAGCAAGAAAAAATATTTTGAACTGAAAAGTAGCAAGCATTTCCAGAACTTAGTCTCCTCCTAATTTCCTCATGAATATTGTTTTGATTTGTTATTGTTGTCTCTTGGACACATTACTTAATTTTTATGAAACAGGCAAAGTTCACCACCTTCTTGAAGACAAGCATGAACACATTTTAGTACCTGCCAAGTGACTCTGCAAAGAATTTTTTGGTCAGTATTGACAAAAATCTGTTCAATACAGTGAATTCCGGTTAATTAGGACACATAAAGAGTTAACAGGTAAAATTATTGGTTTTTATATTTCAATTTTTAGGTTCTTATAAATCATACAGCAAGAACAAATATTTTGAACTGAAAAGTAGCAAGCATTTCCAGAACTTAGTCTCCTCCTAATTTCCTCATGAATATTGTTTTGATTTGTTATTGTTGTCTCTTGGACACATTACTTAATTTTTATGAAACAGGCAAAGTTCACCACCTTCTTGAAGACAAGCATGAACACATTTTAGTACCTGCCAAGTGACTCTGCAAAGAATTTTTTGGTCAGTATTGACAAAAATCTGTTCAATACAGTGAATTCCGGTTAATTAGGACACATAAAGAGTTAAAAAGGTTTGAACTTTAAGATTTGTCCCAAATAAATGGCTGCCCCAATTAACCGGAATCTACTGTATTGTGTCTTAGTTTCTCTAAGCTATGTCAGTTATTCAAATAAACTCTTTCTTTGAGAAATACCCACAGAAAGAAGTCTGGCAGGGTAACATCTAGAGAAGGCAGTGGCCAAAGGCCAAGCCAGGACTGAAGACTGATAAAAACCACGAAAATACCCAGTCAGGATAGCCAGAAATCCATACAAGATACAAACTGGGTATCTTCAAAACAGAACTGCATCAATATGCTAGACAAAATCCGGTGAAGGTAAATAGCTTGTATGTGTTGGATGTATGTGATTCTGTACACCCCTAGCCAGGAAAGCAAGGACCAGTGTTTGTGAAGGCGTCATTATGTGAGAAACATTTCCACGGCATAGGAGAGGTAATTGAGCTGTCATTAGCAGTGTACTACAACTGTCAAAATACAATGACACAAATGAAAACCAACTTACTGCTTTTCAGTATCTTCCATCTGTTATTACTTTGGTATAAAGTAATAAGATCATGAGTTTATAAGATAACTAAAAGTTCTGAGAACCTGGGAAGATGGTAACTGAGAGAAAATTCAAAACGGAATCACTGCCAAGAAAGAAAATATACAGTGACTGCATGGTTAAAGGCACTAACATTTAACCTTGGAAATCAGGTTTAATAGATGACTGGAGTACAAATAATTCTTTGTAAATAGAGATTTCCATAAAATACACTTGTTTATTAAAACATGATTTTACTCTACTTTCCCTATCTGTATTATATAAAATCCAGTTTGATGTTTGTGGATCGGTGTGTTTGCTTGGGCTTACCAACAAAGTAATTAATGGGTGTGGAGCTCAAGAAAAACAATGAAATTACATAACATGTTGCTACAACTGACATTTTTCATTACTGTTCTGTAATAATGTGTTTTTAGCAATACTGTTTACCTACAAACTAGATTTATGTTACAGAGTACTGTAGTAATTTTTAATTAGTGCATGTCTGTGTTATATCTTTAAATATATAGAGAAATATAGAAGGCATGAGAAATAAACATGGGAAAAACAAGAGTTGGAAATAAAGGCATGAAAGGGCCAAAGAAAAGCAAGAAAGATGGTGAGAGAAAGAAATCATTACCCACTGAATTTCAATGAAATTTTACACGAGTTTAACCAGGACAGACAAGGTGGACGTGCAAAATCTATATTTAATATTGTTTAATGTTAACATCTGATACACAATTGCACTAGGGATGGAGCTCTGTATGGCTGTAAAACATAAAATTACCAGCACATTCTGTATGAAACATGTCATATATCAAAATTACAAACATGTCAATGGCATAAAAATATATGTTAATAATTCCAAGTTAAGGTAGACAGAATACATATTAATACAAACTGTGCACATATTAATACTAACCATGCACAGAAATGGATAGCTAAACAGAATAATTATTAATTCATAGATTCTGCCAACCTCACCTTACTGACTGAAGTATATGAAGAGAAGCAGGCATTATAAGTTTGTACCAAAATGTCCTTATTAACTTACACACTGAAATATTTACACATTTGCTATGAAAATGTATGTACCATACATAACTGTTGTGTCATATTTGATGCTAAATAACCTCTTCTACCCAGGCTGTCATTATGTAACCTAAAGCCTTCTAAAGCATCCTTCATGTTTGTACAAACAAAAGAAAATCTGTAACACAGTAGTGAAAACCACCATAAAGGAGCAGCAAAAACAACAGAAGAGAGCTGACCTTGAAACAAATTATTTCCCTCTCCAGACATTCTCCTTGTGCAAGCAAGGTAAAGCTGTGCATTTATCAATGTAATTTTAATCTGCACTTCTAGTACATACTGGTCATGACCTTAGTTACAAAAAATGAAGAACTGAATCATTGCTTTAACAAATAGCTATAGCTGAGCAACAAGTGAGACATTGCCCTCTGGAACACAGAATATTCACCCACCAGGTTGGTTCTGAGCTAACATGCCTGACTTACAATCAGGAGATACTCTTCTAATGCACCAACTACTCTCGCTGTGCATATCTGTGTTTTCTTACAAGCAATTCCCAGAAAATACAAGACAATATCTTCAATGGGCCACATATGCTCCCTCCCTAAACATTTCCAATTCAAAGTAGCGCAATAGCAATGAAAAAAACAGGACAACAAATATTCTTGAGAGTCGCATTTTTTTTATTTTATGGATGGAAGAACATGAATGAGAACTTGGCACTTCTCTGTGCTATAAGTTGTGAATAACTGGCATGTTTTAAATAACAATATTCTTAGTTTTTCATTCATTATATAGGCTGTTTCCGGCACAGTGGCCACGCGATTTGAGGCATGGTCCTCATGCGCCTGGCAGCTGCGACCATGGGTTCGAGCCCCACTCAAGGCATGGATGTCTGTCCGCATCTCCTCTTCCAGTCTGATGGGTAAAGATTGGCCACAGAAGGCAAGGCGAAACCACCGTGGTACTTTCGCAAGAAAACCCCAAAAGGGGTAACGGTCAAGCTTGACCATAGACGATGAAATATATATATAAATATACATATATAGGCAGTTACATTTAAAACACAACTCTAATTACTACATATAAACCCTTTCATGCACAAAAAAATAAACCAATGGTAGTACTGAATTCTTGGAACCATATCCCACTGTTGCAACTTGAAAATAGTACGGCCATAATTTCACCTGTTTTGTCACTCAATAAACACTGTACTTCCATGTCAGGAAATAAACAGCTCAGTGTTTCACAAACAGCTCATAAATATACCATGTTTACATCTGCAAGTGGCATGAGCAGAGACCTAGTAACAAAGGTAACTTAGGTGTTATAGGGGCTGGAAAAGTCTATTACATGGGGTGGACCTGCTTCTGATTTCATTTTTGTACCACAGTACACAATATTGTTTTTGGGTTGTCTCAAACGATACAAAATGTATTATTCCCAAGCAACATTAGGAAATCTGACAGGCAATGTATATCAAACGGCTTCTTATGCCATTGGCTGTGCAGTCAAAAGGCATTAGTAAACAAATGCAAAGGGAAGGTATCACTTGGGAGACCCAGGCACATGAGGAAAAAATATTAATACGGGACATAAAAAAAAATAAGTTGTGAGGATGTGGACTGAATTCATCTGGCTCAGGACAGGATCCAGTGATGAGATCTTGTAAAGACAGTAAAGAACATTCAGGTTCCACAAGAGGTAGAGAATTTCTTCAATAGCTGAACAACCATCAGTTTCTTATGAAGGAATCTGATTTGCTTCATGCAGTGCTTTAGTTGACTCACTGAATAATTGGAAACTTATAAAGAAGCTCTTCTCCCACGGACATAGCAGTCCTATGAAAGGAACAAGATGATAACTTAAACTATTTCATTAATGTTTCTGCTACTAGTAGAACAAGTTCATGTAGTTTGTGGGGGGGGCTAGAACTTAATACTGCATGAGACTGTGTATGGGTAAAAGACTATTCATCACAGCACGTGTCACCATACAAGTTGCATCACAGTCACATGGAGGTAACCATGTGGCAACATAGAGGAAGTAGAGGAACTATGGTTGGATAATTCTGCTGAATGCAACCTTTGCTAGTTAATTTTTATGGAAATCTCAAGGGCAACACCTTTATAGTGACAGGGTCAAGGTGTAAAGGTTAAAACACCTCAAGCTCAATCTGGAAAATAATATGATAAAAATTTGACAACTAGCCAAATATAGTAACAGGCAACAGGATCACTGAACAATCTTCACACTGATTATGATGGGGTAGGGCCTAAAATACCTTTGCAGTTACAAGGCTCAGTTTTTGCTTTATTCGAAAAGAGCAAGAATACATTAAAACATATCCAACTGCAACTTCAGGTTTACATACAAGCAAAATATAAAGTCAAGCATGGTATCCCATGCATAACTGAAATCCAAAGCCATACTGCCTGTCAGATTTTCTTCATATGTTCCAGGTAACTCCATAATGTAGCCAGAGCACAGGCATCAAACCTACAGAACTAGGTTCAAGACACAGAGAATCCAATTGGAATTATAGTAGGCAAAATTATGTGGTTTTCTCAAGTAAATTTTACTAACGTGTTGAGATGAGCTTTGGCTTCAAATGGTTAATGCTGCCAGTATTTGGCAATACTATCACTGTGAGCAATTGTTCAGCTTAATGAAGAACTTAAAAACACGAACGAGAACACATCTCAATAATGAAAACTTCAAGGGATGCACGCAAATCATAACAAATAAAAAACATAATATTCTCAAACAAAATCTGCTTTAAATATCTAAATAATGATTGATTTCTAAGAGAAAATGACCAATTTGCAACAGTAATGTTAATAATTTAGCAACATTTTTAATACAAGCTGTCAAGGTATTTCAGTACACTCTCCTCATTTGTAACTTTGCTGCCCGTAACTTGACAATGAAAACCACATATGACGCCAGGTATGGAAAAGATTGAGAACCCCTGCTCCAGACAGAAAGCAAACAATTTTCCAAATAAATTTTAGATAATTCATACCAACTCATTCAGAACAAACAGAAAAAGTATAGCGTTCTCTGCTCTTATGTAATATGAAAGCTCTCTACTGTCTTCATACAAGTCTCACTGACATGAGCTGCTCAATTCAATTCACATATTCACAACCTAGTTTTTTATTATGTCTACTTTAATATTATCTTCAATCCACGTATAGGTAACAATTCCACTGCACAAAATCTTTCTTCAGAATTTGATAGTTGCTCTACTTATGAAGAAATTCTCCACTACATAGGGAATTCAAAGCTTCAATTTGTTAATGAATTCATTTCAACCTCCTAAATAATGTGAAGTAAAACTTACAAACACTCTTTAGCATATAATTTTACTCACCCCACACTAAATAGCACCCTCTCAAACTCAATTCATCCCTCACAGTAAAAAATGAAGTTTCACGTGTCACATACCTGTAGACACCATAATGTTTCCCACTGGCTCGGTCCCCACAGATAGAACACAGGTGTTTTGAGCCACTGAGCGGGTGATTTGGTGGGAAGGGAGGTGACACTGATGAGCTTTTTGACTGTGCACTACCTGTTGAATTACTAAGAACACTGCTGTGGCCAATACCAAACGAGCTGTAACATTAGCAAACAACAAATTAGTGTCGCAAGTTTACTTGGTTGTTTCTTTGATTATTTAATACCACTGTTTCAATTCCATATAGCTTATAGCAGTGTTCTGCTACCCTTCTTCACACACAGCACACCCTAATTTGTCAAAGCCACATGACAGCACACCACAAAATGTCAGCTCACAAAAAGTGAGTATGTATCTACAGACAAATAGTTGCCCCATAAAAATGCAGGCATATGAAAACAAAACATAACACTTGTTAAGTGTGTGTATATATTAATATATTATAAATTCTAATTATGAAAAATAAGATATTGCCTTCGTCTAACTATAACATGCACATAAACAATTTCTTATAAAAATTCATGGCACACCTGAAACCTTGTGACAGTAAACTGGTTGCAGAACATTGGCTTTTAGCACTGATTGAGGTAGGAAGACGATCATGAATGGTAAGCATGTAAGAATTCAGAAGGAAGCAGTCATGCTCTATTTAAATTTACTATCCTGTCTACTACAGAGATCGAGGGAAACCATGAGAAACCTTCAGATAGTGAGTAATGCAGCCAAGATTTGAACTATGTACCTACTGAATACAAGTCTTGAGCATTGCTGCTACATCATCTGCTCAATCAGTGCTGAAACTGATTCAAAATAAGTAATGAGAAGGATCCTGTTGTGACTGAAAAGGGCATGGAATTTTAGGATAAATCTGGCAAATTAATAAACTCAAATCATGAACAAGCAAAAATTTTGCAATAGAAACTGATCAATAGATCACAATAATACCACACTCATTTATAAGTCCTGCAAGCCTCACTTAATAGGTGGAAAGCTAACAAGTTCTTTCAGATCTTCTTGTTATTTCTATTTGACCTGCACGTGTCATTTAAATATTTACAATCCTTAAAATCTTTTTATCTATCATATTAGCATGTGAATCTTTCTGTATGTGTGTATGTATCTGTTACAACCTTAAATTTTGTAAGGAAACAACCAATATCACCAAAACTTAGTATCAATGCTATAATTCCCAACAAATTACTGAACAGATAGATGAAGAATAAATATCAACATAATTAGTAGATTCAGGGAAGAAATCAAAGCATCATGAATGCACCACATTAACTAGTGTTTGATACCCATAACATTTACATTTTTATGCAGACCATCTTCCTACATACATAAAGTCTTCTTGATTCTGATGTTTGTTAGTACAAGACGCTGCGCAAAGACAACCAAGCCGTCAAGGACGGCCATTTGTTTGCCCATTCCAGGTGTACGTATAACAGTTTCTATAATATGATCATTCTTGGTTTCTTGTGACAGGTGGACCAGCAAAAAAGTCTCCTTGCTGGAGGACCAACAGAAATGAGTCACTTACTTGGGGCTGTTGGGTCCACCGCCACCCCCTCCACCACCCGTGGGACTGAAGTTTCCAGGACCAAGTAAGCTGACTGGGTCAGGTTTCATATCAAGGGGAGACTGTGGCCCCATTGAGCTGATGGACAGACTGTTATCTAGACTGAGACCTGAAACAGTATGGGAACACTCCTACTATTACTTGTTAAACAGTGAGCTATGACTGGTTAGGAAGGTTCAGTACTTAATAGAAATCATGATAGAGCGCTGTTAACTCTGTACTTGCGGTAACTACTACACATTGAAACAAATGATGTTTTGAGTGACACTGGTAGATGATGATTATGTAAAGGTTGTGGCAATGGTTGGTTCATTATATGAACATATATTGGACAGTGTCCACAGTTTGAGGTACATGTTATTTGTTATAATGACATCTTGAGACCCTGAAATTTGTTCGCTTATCAAAGGTTCTGCAACATTTTTTATTGTAATTAGAAGACAACAAAACGTTTACTTTCCCCTAAGTCATTTTAAAGATGCATGTTGGGTACATGATCAGATCTTCTTGACAGACACTTTTGGGCTCTTGAATTACCTAAGTAGCAAGCTGCAAAGAACAAGCCAACTTGTAAGAAAATTATGCCTTCCAAATTATCATTACAGTAGGCAGTTTTAACTGTACAAATAAAGGCCTAATCAGAGTGATCAAAACAAGAAGGGAGATGATGGGCAGGGCACGTGGATTGAATTCATATGATATCAGCACAGGATCCAGGGGTGCTAACATAACAATGGAACCTTCGGATTCCAAACATGATGGGGAATTTCTTGGCTGGTGAAGGACTTATACCTCAGAGGCCAGTGATAAGACACAAAACATTGATGGAATGATCAGCAAGTGAAAATTCAAGTAATCAGACAATAATCTGCCCCAATGCCACTGTCCTCCACAAGTCCCGCAATGATGCCCTCGCACTGAATCTGGGCCCCGGAGAAACCGGTGTTCCAACGCCCGAGTTATAGCACGGCCATATCCACCCTAGGACTAAACCCAGGGCTCCACTATGAGAATTCGGCATCTCTTCGCCTCAGCTGTCGACGTCCACTCCCATTTCCATCATGACGCAATCAACAAGCATCTTATTTTCGAGTGATTGGCAGGCCCGTTTATTTCACAATCCCTAACGCCAAGTCTTCTTTGAAATCAGCTGGCCACAACAGCAACGTCAAAGCACTCGTGCAGGCAGACACGACGGTCAAGGTTAATTATTAATAGGAAGTGGTTACGCAATGCTTCCCTCTGCCAAGATGACTGACTAAGATACAGGTGTGGGCCCAACAATATCACAGGAACACATTCGTAACAATTATTTGCTGTTATGAATTGTTCTCACTTTATGAGCACTGAATCAATCTCTGAGCATGCAGTGCTGGAAGGCACGTTTACAGCAAATGTTTCTCAACATTCTCCTTATGTACGCACACTAAAATATGTCCGAAGGTACATTAAATTATGAATTATGTGCGTATGTGCGCGCGCATAAACATAAAATGTTCGCATTATTCCTCAGTACACCGATGTGTTTTCATACACTTCTTGGGCATGCTTCAAAACACAACTCAATGTAGCGAGTCCTTCTTAAGAAGCCAATATTCTCTCAGCTGGTCATGAAACTGCCCCCTTTTTATGGAAGCTGAACATTCATTACCGTATTCATAAAAGCCCGACTTTCCTGAACCAATGAATCCAATTCACAACCTCATACCATGTTTCTCACTGAATTATAAAATATTTACATTTTTAAGAGACGAGAAATTCGTAGAAAATTTGTCGGAAGGCCTTAGCGGGAAAAGGCCACTTGGAAACCCTAGACGTCGACGGGAGGACAGCGCCAAAACGGGGTTAACGCGGCTAAGCTATGAAGCTCAGCAAGCACTCATCTCCTTATAGTGTCCAGGTAAAGAATGCGTAGAGCCTTGTTTCCGTTTCCTCACAAGTGATAATTCAACAACGGGGGAATTTCACATAAACAACTTTAAAACAATAAGTTACCTAATTTAGTGCACCGTGAGATACTGATAGTGTGTCAACAAATGGAAATGAATGAGAAGCTCAATATTGGAAACCAACTCTCATTACTAGGAACATAAAACAACAAACAGTGACGTAAACGTACTTCAAAAGTGAGACAAGAAAAAAAAAGCCCACCGTTAGGCAATGTGCAACTGATTGCAAATGCCAGCGCCTTCTTTCGCAATGGGTCGACTCACCTGGCCATACAGAAGGACAGACAGCCAACAGGCTGTTTACCACGCCAAGTTTAAACCAAAGTCAATGAGCCAAAAATGTTTTGGCCTCTTTCAATGTCCTTGCAGTGCTGCGATACTTTGGCCGGGAGCCAATCCTCCCGCGGGAAGTGCAATCTCTCGTTCAGTACACACAAGCGGCTAAATCGTATCCCAATGAGGGACCACGAGTTCAATCCTCGCTGGGGGAATATTACCATTCTTTTTCCGTATCTGTCAATTCGGGGTTTGCACTACACCCATCAAAACCGGAACTTGGATTAAGCGTCAAAATGCCTTTAACGGAAGTTTCTTCTGCACCTCAGTAGAAAACCACGAAGGCGTATAAATGGTTCAACTCCACTCATTTTTAATCTCGGCAACAGACGGAGGTGAGTGGTATGATGCTTCAAGCTTCGGCCGCTTTACAGGCGGTAAGATAACCTCTGGTACCCACTGAATAGGAATCTTGGTGGGTCCTACAGCCGGCATTGCCCTAGCAGGATTCAAAACTTTCGATCGTTGATATTCAGGGGAACAACGCCGTGTGGACTTACAGGAACATACTGTCTCTATCTTCACCGTCAATGTGCACCTCGCACGATTGGACAGGTGCGTCGTTCGTGCGACGCGGGAAAAACTTAAATTAAATTCTGACGGTGTGACCCTGGAAGAAAGAAATTTAAATGGGGGCATGGAGACGCCTATGATGGTCTCTGGCAGACGCGGCGTTTGGCGGAAGTCTGAAGTCAGGCGGTATCTTGTGTGTCGGTGCTCATGTCAGAGAGCTACTTCAGTCACTGAAGATGTTTTCGTGTTGAATTTTATAAATGGGACCTCCCCCCCCCCAAAAAAAAAGAGACAAATACCGTGGAATTACACTCACACTTTTCGTTTATTGTTCATGTTACTAGTGAGTGTTCTAGAATATTCCAACAAGCTCTCAAACATGCAAAAGTACAAATAAATCTGTAATATTATTCTGGGCACCCCATATGGGATGTGATATATATATATATATATAAATAAAATAGTGAGTCGCAAGGAATCGGCCGTGGTCTTTCCCAAGGTGGCCGTAACCTAGCTCAGGCGGTTGGAAGCCCTGCTTCTCGCGATACAGGCCGGGTTCAACGCCAAGATGGACTCATGAGTGATCTGTGGCGGTCAAAGTGGTACTGGGGCAGAGCCAACGTTGCCATTCATCTCTGGCTGATGGTGTGATGGCGAACGTGACGAGCTTCAACTGTGCGTCATCACAATGTGGTCTTTTTAAGCAGAGAAGTTAAATTTATCCTGATTATAAAGACCAGTCCGAACTCTGGCCAACTGTGTTCTGTACTTGTCTCTGAGGAGGACTGTACTGTAAATACGCCTTCAGACTATGACATCATCAACTGCAGTGCCATCGCTTTTCAAGGGCAGTGAACAAACGTCCAATAGCTGTAATTTCTCAACGACCCACGCAAATGTTTACCTCGCGGAAATTGCAAGCGAAAGTTCTCTGGTTTGTTCCATTCTTTCTTTTCATCTGACACCAAGCAAATTAATTACGTTAAAACCTTTATTCGACGGAAAGTTTTTTCTGTCTCGAAACAGTGTGGGTAGTAATCAATAAAAGTAAAAGCAGGTGTTTCCGCCTAATTCCACATCAATTTTCCGAGTACAAACAACAGTTTACAAAGCTAATTATTCCTAGCGTGTCTAAATGTGTTCATTTTCAATATAAAATTAACGTTTTTGCATGTATTAAAATCGAAGGGGCGTCATGATTATGTACGTAGAATATCAACATCTAAACTATGCACAAGAACACATCAAATAATTTATCGGTCTTCCAAGGGCCATGGGCGTAACAACCTACCACCAAATACGGTGTATTTTTCGGAATCATTCCGTCCGACAACACAAACGCGGAGCAGGTAAAAAAAGTAAACTTAAATACGGTTACTTACGCAGAACACGAACCACTAAAAATATTAAAGTTGTAAATTAGTATCTTTTATCAAGCTATAGTAGATGTAACATTTTATGTTCAACAGAATTTGCAGACTGACACTAATCAAGACACGGACCACCGGTTGGGGAACACGGATTTATACCACACGACGTTCGAACGCGGATACTGCAATTTTAAATATGTGTATTCACTGTTTTTAAATCTGTGCGCACGCACGGGAAATAATAAGTGGCTTTAGCACCAATAGAAAAATGTTCGCTGGGTGCAGGCCTGTACTTACATCCTAAACCTGTTTTACAGCTTCCAGATTACCACTGCAGTGCGTCTTTTGGCGACACCTTTTAAACTATTCGTTTTTATGTATCAGGGACAGGCAACTTAGGTTTTGATTTTACAGCGACCGCATCTTTCACGCACAATTTCCCACGACCTTGGTCTTACCAACCGCGTAACCTGTGAAGGAACTGCTGCATAGCGGAACTTAACACAACGAAGCAACAACGCTGGATTTCTTTTCTCGGCGATTTCCATCTGTAAAATTATATATTTATTTCTCGTCTCTCCCATGCATGTTACTAGGCAAACTAGGAAGTCACCTATAGCTTCAAAAAATAAATAAAAAATTAACATAAATGGCAAACCACACAACAAAACACGTCTTATAATTGAAAATGGAAAAAAAACAAACAGGGAAGAATAAATAAGTTCGCAGCTTTGTAATGTGATGCTAACAATACGTGGCACTACATACAAATGGCTGGTTTTGTGTGTGTGTGTGTGTGTAGTGAAGTCGACAATATGATCGATAAGTAGGAACATTTCCCGACAGAATGCCTTCAAACGTCATCCTTGCATGATAGATCTTGTGGTAACGAGTTCTGTTTCACTTCTGCTGCGTTACTTACAATGTGTATTTCGTTTCGT